AGCAATAACACCAAGTTTTTCAAAATTTTCGGCAATGAGCACGCCCCTATCTGTGAAAAAGAATTTCAAGTATGGGGCACGACAAACCTTCATCACTCGAACAAGTATGCTTTTATTTAATTCATTATTAAATGCTGCAATCTCCGGAAAATCAACATTGCCACCGGCCAAACGGTATACTTTCAGTAAATCTTGGGAAGGACTCTTATCTTTCCATTCGCCCTTACCTCTGAGGATATCTATGTATTCTGAAATATTGGATTCGTTAATGCGATTCAACGTATTTTTCACTTCATAATATTGCTGCGGATATGCATTTTTATTGAAAATATAACGTGGAAGTGGCCCAATATTATTAATACGTTCCTTTATTTCCTTCCAATAGTTTTTAAGTTCTTTGGATTGGTTGCGCTTTTCCCATGCACATATGGCCTTGATTTCACGCACAGTGTGACAATTCATAACGATTCGATAAGCCCCCCTTTGTTCCCCCCATCCTTTATAGTGGTCCTCATTTGGGGATGATATCACAATCATGCCCCATCCTGAAGGAGGCAGTCGGGTCGGTGGCCCTNCAATGGCCAAACGGTATACTTTCAGTAAATCTTGGGAAGGACTTTTATCATTCCATTCACCATCACCTCTTAGGATATCCATATACTCTGAAATATTGGATTCGTTAATGCGATTCAACGTATTTTTCACTTCATAATATTGCTGCGGATATGCATTTTTATTGAAAATATAACGTGGAAGTGGCCCAATATTATTAACACGTTCCTTTATTTCCTTCCAATAGTTTTTAAGTTCTTTGGATTGGTTGCGCTTTTCCCATGCGCATATGGCCCTGATTTCACGCACAGTGTGACAATTCATAACGATTCGATAAGCCCCCCTTTGCTCCTTCCATCCTTCATAGTGGTCCTCATTTGGGGATGATATCACAATCATGCCCCATCCTGAAGGAGGCAGTCGGGTCGGTGGCCCTTTCTTCCCATCCACATCATAGATTATGTATCCTCTTTTTTCTTTATTTTCTTCACCTCGTTTAA